TGTGTGCTGTGTGTGCTTGTGTGTATGCTAGCTCTGTGTGTGTGTGTGTGTGTGTGTGTGTGTGTGTGTGTGGATTGTACCTCTAGGGAAGTCAGAGGTGGGACTCTGCTGTCTCTTCCCCAAAGAAGACTTCCTGGTTTTCAGGCTGCCCTCTTGTGTCACCTCTGTCCAGTTGTGGTCATAACTCAGCAGGAAAATGTGTCATACCAAATTTACTTTCTGTAGGGTTGGGATGGGGTTGTCATCACATAATTTATGTATGTAAGAGTATTAGAAGATGTTACTGTTAGTCCACCTTAAGCTTATAGATGCTTACCTCGTTTGGGTTTCATTGAGCTTCTTGGACCTGTGAGTTCATATTTTTCATCAAATTTGGCAAAGTTTCAGCCACTATTCATATTTCTTGTCTGACCCCCTCTCTCTCTCACTCCTCCCTCCCTGCCCCTGTCTGGGGGCAGCTTTCTGTTAGATTGTGATACTGTCTCACGGGTCACTAAACTCGATGCTTTTTCATCCTTGTTCTCTCATCCTTTCCTTGACGGTTTTATTGTCCTGTTGAGAGGCTTATTAATCTTTTCTTCCACTTGCCTAATTTGATGTTAAGCTTGTATAGTGAATTTTTTATATCAGAAATTAGATATATTTTTAGTTCTAAAATTCCATTTGAGGCTGGGCAGGGTGGCTCACACCTGTAATCCGAGCACTTTGGGAGGCTGAGGCAGGAGGATCACTTGAGGCCAGGGGTTCGAGGCCAGTGTGGCCAACCTGGCAAAACTCCATCTCTGCTAAAAATGAAAACTAGCCAGGCGTGGTGGTGTGCACCTGTAGTCCCCAGATTCTTGGGGGGCTGAGGCAGGAGAATCGTTTGAACCTGGGAGGCGGAGGTTGCAGTGAGCCGAGATTGCACCACTGCACTCCAGCCTAGATGACAGAGCAAGACTCCATCTCAAAAAAAAAAAAATCCATTTGATTCTTTTTATTAGTTTTATATCCCATTATTTTCATGTTTCCATTAACTCCTTAACCTCGTTTTTAACAGGCTTACTAGACATTCCCAGCTGTTCCAAAGTGGTTGTACCAGCAAGCCCGACTGCTAGTTGTGTATGACCACGTCTGCCGGTCCATGTTCTCAGCACCCATTGCCTGAAGTATTAGCACCTTCACTCTGGAGGGTGTGGGGTAGACCTCCTGGTTTCATTGGCTTCTCTCTGTTCAGCACCTTTTCACAGGATTTCCTGTTTGTAAAGTACCTATTCAAGTATTTTCCCTACTTTTCTATTGGATGGTCTGTCTCATTTATTTGCAGGTGTTATTTATGATTCTGGATAGTAGTGCTTTGTGAGTTACATTTGCAAACAGCTTTTCTTGTCTTTTTACTTTAATGGTGTCTTTTAAGATAAATTTTAAACTTTAATGTGGCCCAATATATCAATATTTTGTTTCATGATTAAAGCATTTTGGATACTAATTTTTAATAATCTTTACTCTGCCTTAATCATAAAGATACTCTGTTATCTTCCAAAAGATTTTACAGTTTTGTATATTTTGGATTTTAGATATAGATTCTACCCAGAATTGATTTTTGTGCCTGTTTTGAAGGTTAAGGATCCAGTTTCATTGTGTTGCAGACATAAGCCCAGTTTCCCCAGCCGTGGCCGCTGAAGATTCCTTTGTCAGGATGATTTCTGTGTCTTTCTGCATCTCCTTGTCTGTCTCTGCCGACACCACACACTCTCGGGTGTATACTTCCATCTTACGTTAGGGTGTCTTGGCTGTTTTTGACCCTTTACATTTCATACATTTTAGAACTAGCTGGTTGAGTTGGGATTTTGTTTGGGATTGTATTGAGCCTGTAGATCAACTTGGAATCATTGACATACTTGCAATACTGGGTTTTACAAACCCTGAATACGGTATCTGTCTCTCCAAATGATAGCTCTCCTTCAGCGGGTGTTAATACAGCCTGATACTTTTCACAGTGGTCTGGTATGTCTTTTGTTACATTTAATCCTAGGTCCTTGTTATTTTGTGATGCTGTTTTTAAAAATGTGCTTGGATTTCATTTCCTTTATGTGTTGCCATTTCATGGAAATTCAATTTTTGTGCATTAATTTGTATCTAGCAATCTAGTAATTTTAATCATTTGCCTGTAGCTGTTTTCTCATTTTTAGGCACACAGTCATGTTTTCTATGAGTAATGGGGTTTCTTTCCCATTCCTGTTACTCTGGATTTTTACTTTCTGTTTTTTTGTTTTGTTTTTTGCTTCTCTACACTGGTCGGAACCCCTAGTGCAATGCTGATTAGAGGTGGTCACAGAGTGGGCGGCGGCGTCTTCTTCCTGATATTCAAAGGGGTGATAAATTCTCACCATTTATCCACTTGTAATAGATTTTTTTTTGTTTTAAAGCTGCTTCTATCAATAATTCGCATCAAGAATGGATGAATTTTATCACTTTTTCTGCAACGATTGAGATGACCGCATGATTTTTATCATTTAATGTATTGATGTGGTTAATGACCATAATTTGCTGTTGTTAAAAATAAACCTTGAATTTCTGAGATAAATCCAACTTAATAATTATGGATTTTCTTTTACATACATATTGTTGTATTTGGTTTGTTAATATTTTGTTTAGCATTTTGTGGCCCAGCTATACCACCTACCACCTGTGTTCGGGCCCTGATTTCCTCGTCTATAGAATGGGGAAATAGTGCCTTCCTCACAGGGTTGTTGTGAAGGTAAAATGAGTTAGTATGAATAGAACTCTCAGGCAGCGTCTGGTGCATCCTGAGCACTGGGTAGCTGCGTGCTCTAATACAGCGGTTAGTATCTCTCTTCACGGGTGACAGCCACTTACGATTTTCCTTTGTAATGCTGTTCTTGTCAGGATTCGTGTCTTTACACCACCGTAAAATGAGCTACATTGTGCCTTCTTTCTACGTTCTCTAGGAGAATTTATTTAATATTATAATTATTTCTTCCATGGATGTTTGATGGAATTTGCTGGTGAAGTCACTTGTGCCTGGAACTTTCTTTGTCAGGAGGTTTGACTAGTGATCCCGTATAACTCAGTGTTCCAGGATGTGGCAGAGCTGTTCACACAGACCATCCTTATGTCCCCCTTGCCTTTATGCTGCATATCCGTGAGTTGGGTTGGGCCGTGTGACTGCTGAGCAGCAGCCTGTGCGTGGGACTGAGGTGAGTCATGTCAAGGCCAGAGCGGTGGGAGCTGGCGCGTCGCGTTGATAGCTTCCCTGCCAGTGACCTGGGCAGCCGCATCACAGGATTAGGAAGCCAGTTTGTCTTCTGTTGCAAGAGAGCTCTTGTTATTCCCGAAGTTGGACGTCGTGTGAGTAATAAATTTTGTGTGTCCGGCCACTGAGGTGTCGGGTTTTCTACCGTCGCTGGCAGTGACTTCCCCTAAGTCGCAAGGCTGAGCAGGCTTTCCATTTCTTTTGGAGTTAGTTTTTATATGTTATGTGTCTCTAAGAATTGGTCCATATTGTCTTAATTTTCCATTTTGGGGGATATAACACACATAATTTGAATGGCTTCAGCATTTGAAGTTGTGTGTGTCCCTGTGGCAGAGACGTAGGGACAGTTGTGTCCCTTCAAGCAAGACCTTGCTATCCAGGGGCAAGGAGCGTAGGGACAGAGACCATCTCTAGCCGCCATGCTGTCAGGCTGTGCCTGGGCTCTGGAGCTGAGGACACACTCATCCAGGCAGCCGCAGCCGGTGTCCAAGCAGGCAGGGCCTGGACCTAATGCGAACCACAGGGAGCTCCCTAGCAGGCCATCTCCAGAGCCTCCCTGAGGCCTCCTGGCCACGCTGCCTCCTCCCCTTGTGCTGTTCAGGGGCATTCCTCATCAGTGAGCCTCTTATGATACAAAGGCCACCTCAGCATCTGCCTCCCGGGGACCCAGCCTATTCTTGGCCATTCTTCATATTCGTTGTTTGAACTTTCTCTTCAGTTCTTTCAAAAAAACACCCTTTGCCTCCATTTTCTTTTCAATTTCTGATCTGATCTATCGTTAGCCATGCTGAAATAACAAATAAATATGGGTTAAAATATTATTTTATCGATTTCCCTGTTCTGTTTCTTTCTCTTGTTTTATCAGTGAATCTGATTGATCCGCCATCTAATTAGTTTTAATCTGCCATCTTATTTTGTGCTGTTTGTTCTATTCCATGATTGTTTCCCTCTCTACTTTTGCCACTTTTAGATGATCTGTCATCCCACATGTCCCTCTGCTCATTTGGAGACTGTGTACTCGCTTCTGTTCTGTTCTTACGGCATGTGTGCATTTAGTCCGTGTTCTGACCCACCCCTGGGGTTCCTTGAGCGCAAGACGCGCGTCCCTCCCCATGCTCCTGTTCTGCTCACCTGTGGGGGTTCCCAGGTATTTTTATGGAACATTTTAACCTCGCAAAGTATTGATATAGTCACTGTTAATTTGGAGTTATTGACCTATTTATTCTGTCTGCTCCACTTTCTTCACAAACCAGACATGCCATTTGAGATCACCTTTGCTTTCTGCATTTAGAATTTCTCTTAACATCTGCTGCTGGCAAATTCTCTTTTCATTGTCTAAAAATGCCTTTATTGTATCCTCATTTTGGAAAACTGTTTCACTGGGCTAGTATCTCAGGTTGGCAGCCTGTGATGACGTCGCCCTGTTTTGGGGGCTACGGTGGTGTTCACAGTGTTCACGTCTCATGTCCATTCCCTTTGAATTAGACCCCACCCAAGGCTGCACCAGTGCTAGACCAGGACTCACAACTGACAGATGGCTGGTCCGCCTGCTCCTCCTTCACAGTCCTCCTGTCTAGATGAGGAAGCGAGAGGCTCCGTTAGGCAAAGGGGACACAAGGCTCTCAGCCCTGTGAGCTTCAGCCCAGTGGAGGCACTCAGCACACTCCCTACCTGGGGCCCCTCCAGTACCCATCCCCTGTTACCATCTGTTACAGATATGTGTGCTCTGAGGAACAGAGAAATCCACGTTTTAAAACACCTTTATTTGTCACTTTACCAACTGGACACACAATGTTAATGACAGCAGACACACAGGGGCATGTGCACACAGACATGAGCTGTTTCACTACAGGTTTGCAAGCCAGGCTCAACAGCAAGTCCAACAGGCGACACCACGCCTCTCACCTGCAGAAGGGACAGCACAGCCACCCCACCCCACAGACGTTCCCAGTGAGTGCGGTTTAGACGTTGGCAGAAGTGCCTTTCAGAGTCAGAACAGCCATGACATGGACATCACCTGTCACACTGATAAAGTGATACGCTCAGTACTCCCTTATGTTAATCACACAGTGTAAAAATATATTGCACATATATATATATAAATTTGTTTCCCTTTCTTGAAAAAAACTTAGTACAAACTAGTAGTTACACGATCCCTTTCAAGTTTCTCTTAAGTTGTGCAGATTTCCTTTGTGGTTTGGCTTAGTTTAGTTTTTTAAGAGGTCAAAAGAAAGAAGTCAAGCATCTCGCTGTGCCCATTATTCCCCATCACAGGCCAGGGGACAAATGCCACACCCTGGACCACCAGAGCTCACAAAGTGTTCAGTAGTAAGAGGAGGAAAGATGCAGGTTCAGTGTTTGAAGGATGTTCTGGCCTATTGATAACATCACCGTCCAGCCTCATCGTCCCCCTGTGCCATCCCCTCATGGTGTGTGGTGTGGGGTGGGAGGGTGGCCAGTGCACACGTGATTGCCCACAGGAGGAGATTGAGCTGGGCCAGTAGAGGGACAGATAAGTGTCCAGGGCCAAGGCGTCTCCATCTCAACTCCTCCCCACTCCAGTTGTACAGCAGAAGGAGCCACAGGCATGTGTGAACACACAGGACAGGCCCTGTGCCAACAAAACACCATTCACAAAAGCAGGCAGCCACAGCAGCCCAGGGCGGGGGCCGGGGTAGGAGGTGACGCCCACACAGGGCTGCTGTGGTTGGCCCTGAGCTGGCACCCCTGGGGTCTGGGATGGAGCGGCACCGACAGGCAAGTGGGGCGGCCACAGGACATGATGCCAGCCCAACTCCACCATCTGTGCCCAAACTTGGGACAGGATATTAGAAGGTGTAAAAATAGTCCAGTATAAACATATATCTTCTGCTACAATATTTTAAACATATAATTTGAACTTTAATTTTGGTAAAGCTAACTGTTATGAACACTACCTGGTTGCTTATCCTATAGCAGTAAATAAAAATGAGTAAGTACTCTGGTGTGAACAGTCTTCTCAATGCGCTCCCTCTGCCTTTCTCCTTTCCTGATGCTGACGCACGATCAGCGCTGTCCTCCCAACAGAACCTGTCCCTCTCTCCTGGTGTCACCCCCGACAGAACCTGTCCCTCTCTCCTGGTGTCACCCCTGACAGAACCTGTCCCTCTCTCCTGGTGTCACCCCCAACAGAACCGGTCCCTCTCTCCTGGTGTCACCCCTGACAGAACCTGTCCTTATCTCCTCTTGTCACCCCCAACAGAACCTGTCCCTCTCTCCTGGTGTCACCCCCGACAGAACCTGTCCCTCTCTCTTGGTGTCACCCCTGACAGAACCTGTCCTTATCTCCTCTTGTCACCCCCAACAGAACCTGTCCCTTCTCCTGGTGTCACCCCCAACAGAACCTGTCCCTCTCTTATTTCCTCTTGTCACCCCCGACAGAACCTGTCCTTATCTCCTCTTGTCACCCCCTTATCTCCTGTCACCCCCAACAGAACCTGTCCCTCCTCCTGGTGTCACCCCCAACAGAACCTGTCCCTCTCTTCTGGTGTCACCCCTGACAGAACCTGTCCCTCTCTCCTGGTGTCACCCCCGACAGAACCTGTCCCTATCTCCTCTTGTCACCCCCGACAGAACCTGTCCCTATCTCCTCTTGTCACCCCCGACAGAACCTGTCCCTATCTCCTCTTGTCACCCCCGACAGAACCTGTTCTCTCTCCTGGTGTCATCCCCGACAGAACCTGTCCCTCCTGATGTCACCCCTGACAGAACCTGTCCCTCTCTCCTGGTATCGCTCACCGACAGAACCTGTCCCTGTGTCCTGGTGTCACCCCCATCAGAACCTGTCCCTTTCTCATGTCACCCATCGACAGAAATCTGTCCCTCTCTCCTGGTGTCACCCCTGACAGAACCTGTCCCTGTGTCCTGGTGTCACCCCCGACAGAACCTGTCCCTCTCTTCCGGTATCACCCCCGACAGAACCTGTCCCTATCTCCTTGTGTCACCCACCGACAGAACCTGTTCTCTCTCTTCTGGTATCACCCCCGACAGAACCTGTCCCTCTCTCCTTGTGTCACCCACCGACAGAACCTGTCCCTTTCTCCTGGTATCACCCCTGACAGAACCTGTCCCTATCTCCTGGTGTCACCCCCGACAGAACCTGTCCCTATCTCCTCGTGTCACCCCCAACAGAACCTGTCCCTCTCTCCTGGTGTCACCCCTGACAGAAACTGTCCCTTTCCTGGTGTCACCCCCAACAGAACCTGTCCCTTTCTCCTGGTCACCCCGACAGAACCTGTCCCTCTCTCCTGGTGTCACCCCTGACAGAACCTGTCCCTCTCTCCTGGTGTCACCCCCGACAGAACCTGTCCCTATCTCCTCATGTCACCCCCAACAGAACCTGTCCCTCTCTCCTGGTGTCACCCCTGACAGAACCTGTCCCTTTCTCCTGGTCACCCCGACAGAACCTGTCCCTCTCTCCTGGTGTCACCCCTGACAGAAACTGTCCCTTTCCTGGTGTCACCCCCAATAGAACCTGTCCCTTTCTCCTAGTCACCCCCGACAGAACCTGTCCCTCTCTCCTGGTGTCACCCCCGACAGAACCTGTCCCTCTCTCCTGGTGTCACCCCCGACAGAACCTGTCCCTCTCCTGGTTTGCAGGCTGTGCAGTTTCTGTTATTCACAAATACACATTTATTTTCTGTTGAACCATGGTTAGTAGAAGCTAATTGGCAGTGCATAAAAACATGCAGAAGAGAACACACACCTGCCTGAATTCACAATATTCAGAAACTGACTGAGGAAGATGCACGGGTCTGTTACGTGCAGTGGGGCTGCTGTCCAAACAATGTTCTGTGTTTGGAGGCGGCACACAGATGCAATCACAGATTCCACAGACAAACTGTAACTGACAATGGTGACCACTATGCCCTCGTGACTTAATTTTTGCTACCCCTCCTGGCTAGGTGACAGAAACGGGAGCAGAGCAGGTGTTTTCAAAGATTCGCTTTGGAGCCGAGGGGAGAAGGGTGCTCTCCTGGCTCCCGCATGTCTGAGGAAAGCCTGGGGGCCGTTGAGGGAGGGCGGGACACTGGGGAGGCCGTGCCTCTGACTCGTGGGCACAACCCTGGAAGTGTGGAGGGAGAGCGGGGGTGTGGGGCCTCTCCCTCCAGGAGCCCACGGTGCTCCAGGCTAGGACGGGCTGGGTGCCACAGCAGCCTCGATCTCATTCACGAAACCCACAGGGGCGTCCTAGGGTTCGGAATGCAGGCCACGACTTCCCTCAGAGTGAAGGGTCCGCTTCTGCGAAGGAGCTCACCTCCAGGGGCCACGATGGGAGCCATGAGCCCCGCCGCTCCGGTCACTCCAGCCAGGTCTGGGAAGGGCTGTGGTGAGTCGGTGCTGGCCGCGTGGACGAAGTGCCCCGTCGGTGACAGGGCCTGTTCCCTGCGGGGTCGGGTGGTGCCCGGGCTGGGTGGAGACGTTTCTCGTGCTCAGGGCCGGTTTCTGGTGTGCTCCCGATGCGCTTGGTTCTTGAGGCCATTCTTGTCTGAGGCCAACCAGTGACCAGGAGTCGGGGTCCTGGTGCCTCTCTCCTCAGTGTCCCTCGTCCCCACAGACCGCAGCAAGGCCTGGCGAGCCTCTGTGCCTGCCGCGCGTGTGGGGACCTGCGGACCCCAACCCGCCTGTCCCTCCGTCCTGACCCGGCGCCAGGCTCAGCTCCAGGGTGAGGTCCTCTGGAGTCACATTCGTTCTGTGTGACTTGGCTGTGACTGTGGGGACCGGGCTGCCCATGGACGGAAGAAGGAGAAACGCAGCCTTGGACCAGGAGACGCGGCCCAGGGTGGAGGCGCGCTGAGGCCAGGGAGGCCGAGGAGGGCAGCAGTCCGAGGGCGTAAGGGTGCCAGGGTCCTTCGGGTCTCAGGCTTCAGGACCTGGGGAGCCGCCCTGTTCGGTGACCACTCGTCCTCGGCCTCTTCAACACAAGGGCTTTGGAATTGTGATGGGCTGTGATCGGCCGATCCCGGTGACTCGCTCGTCTGTGATTGGCCGATTCCGGCGACTCGCTCATCTGTGATCGGGCGATCCCGGTGACTGCTCGTCTGTGATCGGGCGATTCCGGCGACTCGCTCGTCTGTGATTGGCCGATCCCGGTGACTGCTCGTCTGTGATCGGCCGATTCCGGTGACTGCTCGTCTGTGATCGGGCGATTCCGGCGACTCGCTCGTCTGTGATCGGGCGATTCCGGTGACTGCTCGTCTGTGATCGGGCGATTCCGGCGACTCGCTCGTCTGTGATCGGGCGATCCCGGTGACTGCTCGTCTGTGATCGGGCGATCCCGGTGACTGCTCGTCTGTGATCGGCCGATCCCGGCGACTCGCTCGTCTGTGATCAGGTGATTCCGGTGACTCACTCGTCTGTGATCGGCTGATCCCGGTGACCTGCTCATCTGCGATTGGTGATTCTGGTGACCGCTCATCCTCGACCTCTTCAACACAAGGGCTTTGGAGTTGTGATGGGCTGTGATCAGGCAATTCCGGTGACCGCTCGTCTGTAATCGGATGATTCCACACTGCACATTCAGAGTTGTTTTCAAATGTTTCCGTACGTTAGTTCTGCCTTTCACACGTGGTCCAGCCAGGTTCAGTGGGGGCACAGGGCTGGGCTTGTGCACCCCCCCGCCTTCCCCAGGCCGGTGAGGTGACATCCTAAAGGAGCCACAAAGCCTGAGGTTCATTTTTCCTTGGTCTTTATTGCCAGACACCATGAACTTCCCAGCCCTGCCATGAGAAGCTGCCTGCCAGGTTCTCCCCATCCTCAGGTTGGGGTCTACCTGGGGATGAGCCTGCGGCAGTCTGTTGAGGGGCCTCAGAGACCCCCAACTTTCAGCGGACCATGCTGTCTGGGAGCTCCAGCCCTGCGGCTCCTGCTCTGCTCAGGTAGGGGGAGTCCTTCCACAGGGCTGTGGCCGCAGCAGGTACACTCTTGGGAGTCAGGGGAGGCGGGTGGCGCTCATGCGTGCCAGTGAGGGAGGGGCCTCACCATCCTGTGCTGTGAGCCTGGCCCTGGGCAGCCCCCTGCCCTGGCCAGAGCCTCACCGTAGCCACGGGCTAACAGGCTCTGGAAGCGTTTCCCCAAGACTGCCGCAGGCTCATCCTCAGGTAGACTCCAGAACCACAACCCAGCAGGTCACACGCGCGGCTGTGGCTGTTTGCGTGCCAAGGGACAGTGGCAGTGCGCCATTGTGACAGTGGGTAGCCACACCCTTCAGCCTCCCCAGGAGGGAGCAGGAGTGCCAGCTTCTCCCCAGGTGCAGATAGGCAAGAGCAGGCCGCCTGGGTGTGTCCTGGCAGTGTGGAGGGTCCTGGATGGGCTCTGCTTGGCCGTCTGCTGGCAGAGAAACCCCCACAGACACTGCAGGCTTGGGGGTCCTCCCTGGTGTCCTGCTCTCCAGGGGGAGGGGCCGGGAGAGGTGAGGCCAAGTCATTTCGGGAGAGTTGAAGAAGGCGCTTGGGCTGTGGCAATGGGAGGTCTGCGAGCAAGCAGGGTGCAGCTAGTGAGGATGGGCAAGCAGGAGGGCCGGGCAGAGGCCCTGTCACGCAGTGAGGCGAGGAGTGTCTCAGCACTTCGTGTCTCTTGCCTGGCAACACCACGGGGACCAGACATTCCACATCTTCCTAGACCTGCTCTGAGAACACAGGCAGCCACCGTGTCTACTCAGGAAAGCAAAGGGAGCTGACTCCACCCTCACAGTTCGGGCCACTGTGGTCAGCTGGGAAGCCGCCCACTGCCCCCCCACAGCTTTCCTTTTTCCGACGTTGCCCTTGGCACAGAGCTGGCCTGTAGGCATGTGTGCACACTTGTGTCCATGTGACCGGCTTCCCCACACATGTGCCAGGTGCCCAGCACCCCCGCCAGGTGGCCTCACTCTGCCCTCTGCCCAGGAAAGCGGGAAGGCCCTGTGGTGTCCACTGCATGCAGTACAGGTCTCGGGCCCCACAGACACCTCCCATGTCTGGTGTGGGGCCAACTCCGTGTTAGTTGCCTGCTGGTTGGGATTAGCTCCTGCCACCCTCAGGGCTCCTGGAAGGTGTCTGCCAGTCAGGAGGTCAGCACAGCCTCCTGTTGCCATGACAGCCAGCTCCTTTAAAACACCCCTTTGACCTGCAAACCACGTGCCCGATGTGGTGTGATCCGGGAGACACTTTGGAAACGGTTGAGGACGCAGGTGTATAAGGAGGGTCAGTGAACTGGGGCCCAAACCTGGTTCGAGAGGGGAGTGCTGGGGGCATCTGGCAGGAGGAGGGGCAGGAGGGAGGCCTGGGCCTGGCCTCCCCCCAGCCCCCTCTGGGGCACCCATCTGAGTTCTGCCCGAGTGAGCACAGGAATGTAATGAAGTGCGAGGTGACAGAGTCCCTGCTCCGGGGACACCGGCAGTGCCGCGGGGCATGGAGCGGGGGCTACTTGCCCCCTTGCACCTTCTGGTCATAGGTGCCTGCGTGCTTGTAGCCAGACACATAGCCTGACTCGTCCACCAGGTCCACGCGGCCAGCCTTGCCCTTGCCCTTGCCAGAGGGGTCGAAGCGCTCCTTGTGGGAGCCCGTGAACTTGGTGGTGTCTGTGAGCCTCGACACTGTGGGCGATGAGATGGCTTTCTGCAAGAGGAGTGGGAGGAAGGGGACAGGTAAGTTGCCAGCAGGTGAAGTGGCTGTGCCCTGGGCAGGTCTCCCAGCGGTGGGGCAGTGGGCAAGGGGCAAAAACCCTGGGATTTATGCCCCTTTTAATTTTAATTCTTATTTTTACCTCTTGTGGCCCCGGGGCAGGCTTGGGCCTGCAGGGTGCCACGACCCTAACAATTGCCCCGGTCCACCTGGTGTTTATGCAGCTGGGGACCCCACCACCTGCACCCTCAGAGGGAAGGGGCTGTCAGGAGAGCCAGGCCCCACCCTCCAGGCTATGGCCCCCCAACCCATGCCCCTTTTGACCAAGCCTCCCCAGACCCTGCCCCAGGCCACGCCCTCCCGACCACGCCTCCCAGGACCCACCCCACCCCCCCAGGCCAAGCCCCCAATCCATGCCCCTTCTGACCACACCTCCCCAGACCCCACACCAGGCCATGCCCTCCTGACCACGCCTCCCAGAACCCAACCCAGGCCAAGCCCCCATCCATACCCCTCCTGACCACGCCTCCCCAGGCCCCACCCTCCAGGCCACGCCCCAATCCATGTCCCTCCTGACCACACCTCCCCAGGCACCACCCACCTGCCAGCCCCGCCCCCAGCCCCCCTCCAGGCCCCGCCTTCCATCCCCGCCCTACTCACCGTCACCCCTGAGATAATGGGCGCCTTGCCCTCAATGAGCCTGTGCACCTCGCGAACCGCCTCCTCGCTGCTCTTGTCTTTGAATCGCTTCTTGGCGAGCTCCTCCAGTGCCTCCTGGAACTGCTCAAAGGTGATGGTCCGGCAAGACTTCCCTCTGCAGGGGCACAGGCAACTTAGGGCTGGGCGCAGGCCGGCCCAGGGCTGCCCGCGCCGGCGTGGGTCCGAGCAGAGCTGGGCGGCCATTGCCCAGCAACTCACAGGATTCACCCGCAGGCGGCCGCCCTGGTAGCACCGCAAATCCAAACTGTCTTGGAAGAAAGCTTGGCGGAAGCAGGTCCTCTATAAAGCTGGATGCTCACACGGCCCTGCAGGCCGCTCTGACACTGGGTGCCTGTGGGTCTGCACTCTGCTGGGGCGGTGGGGGAGGCCATTAGGGAGCAGAGCCCACCTCCTCTTCCGGGGGCCACCACAGCCCCGCCCAGCTGCGCCAAGAGTTGGAGGTCCTAGGACCTGCTGGGGCCCCCGCTCTGCCTGTGTGTGTTGGGGTCCCAGGTGGAGGTGTCCCCCACACAGGAACATGGTTAGGAGGGGCCGCCGCCCCCACCCCCGGACACTTGGTAGCATGGGCACAGGCCCACACTTCAGACCCCCTGGCTCCAAAACCCGCCAGGCGGCCCGCTGTGCCCCTGCGCTGCCCTGGCCTCAGAGGTGCAGAGCCAGATGCGGGAGGTGTGGTGAGCAGCTCCTGGTCACACAACACAGCTGCATCTAAACACACTCTACACCTTACAACATCCTCCACCACAGGCCATTCAGGCAATTTCAGAGGGTTCTAAACTGACGCTTGGTCTCTTATATAATAATTCTAATTAGAAAACATTTTTCTCCTCTGATCAGATCTACCACAACTAACCCAAAGTAGGGTTTTTCATTGTTTAAAACAAGAGATCCTGTGGATGAGGCTCAGTTCTGCAAAAGCCACCTGCATTTCACCAGGGAAGCCTCTGGAACAGCGCGAGAAGGGCTGCACCCAGCAGGTCAAGCATTCCAAGGGCACTCCCAGCTGCAGAATCCACCACAGTGACCAAGATTCAGGAGACAAATGACCCATAAAACCCGAGCAAGCCTTTCCAGAAGTCAATGAACAGAGGGCCTAGAATAGCCAAAACGATTTCAAGAAATGAGAACAATCAGAGGACTGACTACCCAACTCCAAAGCTCATCCAGGCTTCACTGCAAAGTGGCAGTGACGTGGGCATGGGCACACTGCCAGCCCCGCAGCCCGGGGAGTCCGGCTCAGCCACACGCATGCCATCCGCGGATGTCCACAGGTGCAGAGGCAAGCCAGAGAGAAAGGACTGCCTCTTCCACAAGTGGAGCTGGAGCAACTGGTGATCCCTGTGCAAATTAAAATGCACTTTGGTCTATACTGCACACTATATACAAAACTAACTCAAAATAGAGGACAGTCCTAATTATGAAACTAAAACAAACTTCTAGAAGAACACCAAAAGAAGATCTCTGTGACCTGGGATTAGGTGAAGATTTCTTAGAAATGGCAACAAAACATGGCCTATAGTGGAAAAAATGGATGAACTGGACTTCATGGAAACTGTGCTCTCAGAAGATACCCTTAAGACAATGAGAAGACAAGCCACAGAGTAGGAGACATGCCTGAGAAAGGACTTGTCTCTCAGATACACAAAGGAACCTTAAAACTCAGCAGTGAGAAAAAAAATTCCATGTGAAAAGACGGGCAGAATATTTGAAGCAGCAATATTCAGAGAAAACACGTGCATGCAGGCAAGCACACGGAGAGGCGGCTGCCATGGCGCCCTCAGGGAAGTGTGGGCAAACACACGGAAAGCCGGCCGCGTCTGCGCCCTCAGGGAAGTGCGGACAAGGACACGGAGAGGCGGCTGCCATGGCGCCCTCAGGGAAGTGCTGACAAACACACGGAGAGGCGGCCGTGGCCGCGCCCTCAGGGAAGTGCCCACAAACACACGCAGAGGCAGCCGCCTTGGCGCCATCAGGGACGTGCGGACGGACAAGCACACGGAGAGGCGGCCGCGTGGGCGCCCCCAGGGAAGTGCCGACAAGTACAGGGAGAGGCGGCTGCCATGGCGTCCCCAGGGAAGTGCGGACAGACAAGCACACCCAGAGGCGGCTGCCATGGCGTCCTCAGGGAAATACCGACAGACACATGAAGAGGCGGCCGCCATGGCGCCCTCAGGGAAGTGCGACAGACAAGCACAGGGAGAGGCGGCTGCCATGGCGCCCCCAGGGAAGTGCTGACAAGTACACGGAGAGGGGCTGCCATGGCTCCTCAGGGAAGTGCTGACAAACACACAGAGAGGCGGCTGCGTGGGCGCCCTCAGGGAAGCACGGACAGATAAGCACAGGCAGAGGCGGCTGCCATGGTGCCCCCAGGGAGTGCCTACAAGTACAGGGAGAGGCGGCTGCGATGGCGCCCTCAGGGAAGTGCGGACAGACACACGGAGAGGCGGCCGCCGTGGCGTCCTCAGGGAAGTGCGGACAGACAAGCACACGGGGAGGCGGCTGCCATGGCGCTCTCAGGGAAGTGCGGACAGACAAGCACACGGAGACGAGACAGCGTTGGCGTCCTCATGGAAGTGCGGACAGACAAGCACATCGGGAGGCGGCTGCCATGGCGCCCTGGGGGAAGTGCCCACAGACAAGCACATGGAGAGGAGGCAGCATTGCCGCCATCAGGGAAGTGCGGACAGACAAGCACATGGGGAGGCGGCTGCCATGGCGCCCTGGGGGACGTGCCCACAGACAAGCACATGGAGAGGAGACAGCATTGCCGCCATCAGGGAAGTGCGGACAGACAAGCACAGGGAGAGGGGCCGCCATGGCGCCCTCAGGGAAGTGCGGACAGACAAGCACACGGAGAGGAGGCAGCCATATGCGCAGCAGGGAGGGGGCCATGGCCCTCAGGGAAGTGCGGACAGAGCACAAGGCACACCGAGGAGGCGGACACGAGCCAGCGTTGGCGCCATCAGGGAAGTGCAGACAAGCACACGGAGAGGCGGCTGCCATGGCGCCCTCAGGGAAGTGCGGACAGACAAGCACACAGAGAGGAGACAGCGTTGGCGTCTTCAGGGAAGTGCGGACAAGGACACGGAGAGGCGGCTGCGATGGCGCCATCAGGGAGGTGCGGACAAGGACACGGAGAGGTGGTCCGCGTAGGCGCCATCAGGGAAGTGCGGACAGACAACCACACGGAGAGGGGCTGCGATGGCGCCCTCAGGGAAGTGCGGACAAGTACACGGAGAGGCGGCTGCCATGGCGCCCTCAGGGAAGTGCGGATAAGTACACGGAGAGGCGGCTGCCATGGCGCCCTCAGGGAAGTGCAGACAGACAAGCACACGGAGAGGTGGCCTCGATGGCGCCCTCAGGGAAGTGCGGACAAGCACAGGGAGAGGCGGCTGCCATGGCGCCCTCAGGGAAGTGCGGACAAGCACAGGGAGAGGTGGCCTCGATGGCGCCCTCAGGGAAGTGCGGACAAGTACACGGAGAGGCGGCTGCCATGGCGCCCTCAGGGAAGTGCGGACAAGGACACGGAGAGGCGGCCCGCGTCGGCGCCATCAGGGAAGTGCAGACAGACAAGCACACGGAGAGGCGGCCGCGTTGGAGAGGCGGCGGCCGTTGGCGCCCTCAGGGAAGTGCGGAGGGAAACCACAGCGAGACCCTGCGCACCTTCCAGGGAGCACAAACAATCAAATAAACTGCCAGCACCTCGAGCTGAGCAGGCCGCCGGGTGGGGGGCGTCCTCATCCACAGCCGGCGGAGCAGCATGGCAGAGCCACTGTGGACAGCTTCTGTCACAGCCAAAGAAGGCCCAGCAGTCACGTTCCTGGGTCCTTGCTCAAGAGAAATGAAAACGGAGGCTCACACATAAATGCAAATGTTTACCACTGTTCTGCTCGTCATCAAACCCCAGACAATCCAATGCCCTGCAGTGGCTAGACCACAGTGCTGTGATGCGTGCGCACGTGGACGGCACCCCACCCCTGAGAACAAGCCCAGGATAGGCACCCCACGCGGTGGGTGCCAAGTGGCCAGGTTTGGAGCCAGACATGCAGGTGCCGCTGGGTGGTTCCCAAACCCCAAGGCGGATGCTGTGTTTAAACAGCACCTGAGGGTTCCCACACACTTTTCAGGCGTGTCCTGAAGACACAACAGACACCATCAGGAACCACACTGTGCCAGAGGAGAAGAAATCCACTCAGAAACACACCAAGCGTTCGGGGTCCCACAGCTCAGACCCCCACGCCTCATGGGGTCCCAGGGAGGTGAGCGGAGGCCTCACGCTGTGGCCGGAGGGGGCTATGGGGAGACAGAGCCCCAGGGCGGGGCCTGGACTGCTGAGGACAGCCAGGCAGGGCACATTCCAGAACCGCATGTTATAGGGTGCTGTTGTTCAGCGGCATCCCCCAGGGGGCGCTGGTGAGCCCGGTGAGCCGGAGAGGCCGTGAGCCACTCCATGGCTTGGGGGTGCACAGTGTTGGGGGCAGGTTTAGCCCCTTGACGCGCTCAGCCTGGACACCCGCACCATCCCCTGTGGTGCTGGAGGAGCCAGGCCACCCCAGGCAGCTCAGCAGTGCCTGGAACTGACAGTGCCCATTGGGCCCTGTGGGGGGTGTTGACTCTCTAGGGCCCTTGGGGCCTCTCTGTCAGTCCCGGACCATCAAAGGCGCTCTCTCTTCTATTCACACCCTGCCCAAGCTGACATGCGGATGCCAGGCCTGACTGCCAGCTTGGTGACCAGTGCTGGGGCACGCAGCCCTTTCTGACTGCCTCGGAGCCAGGCACCACCAGCATGAGTCACTCCGCGGGGAGGGGGATGGCTGAGGGGGCTCCCCTATCAGAGGCGACATTCAGATCGGGACACCTGCTTTGCCTGTGCCCCGAGTGTCTTGGGGAAAGGGCGCCTGGGTCTCTGCTCCATGCTGGTGGGGAGCTCTCCCCAGGAAACCCGGGTGCCCCTGCCTGGGGCAGTCCTAAGAGTTCTAGAACAGTGGTGCCTGCGTCTTCCCCAGAGACACTTAGTCTGGTTGCCTGGCTCTCCCGACACAGAGTGGGCCTGTTCTCCAGATACCAGGGTGCTGGAGGAGCCTCCGAGTGCAGAGCTCGGCATCTTCATTGCCCATGTGCTCCCCAGCCCTGCGCCCTGCCCGGAAGCCGACCCAGCCGGGCGCTGCCACTGCTCACACACGATGCCCTGTGGGGCCTGGACTTACTTCCCAGGCTCTGAGTCCCCTGGCCTCTTAGCCTGGCTCGGTCTCTCAGGGGACACTGGGACCCGGCCTGGGGCCTCCGGGAGCTGGGCTCAAGTCAGGACAGCCCTCTGAGGACCGAGGCCTGTTCCTCCGGGGCGGACGTCACAGGCACTCCTGGCTCGGGACTATGCATCCAGCACCCTTGTGAATCAGGAATGCCCTCCCAGGGTGACCTCTCTGAGGCGCAGGGGCCAGCGGGTGGGGTGACAGCTTGCTGCTCGGGTTCCAGAGAAAGCTACCAGCTCCCCTGGGCTCTCTCGGCCTGCAGCTGCTGTGGCTGGAGTGCCCTGTCCAGAGGCTGCCACAGGTGGGAAGCTGGGGGCTGTGGAGGGGAATCTCAGGGGAAACAGCCTCTCCCTGTACTTAGGCGAGTCCAAGAGTGAGGGGCTGCGGCTCTCCTAGGGCACCAACCTCTGGGATCTTCCATTAGCTCCTGAGACCTGAGGAGGCTGGGAAGGAACCCCTAGCTGGTGGGTCCCACGGGGGCAGTGGGGGCTTCTGGGGAGGCTCCTGCCTGGTAGGGACATGGCCTTAGGGGAGCCCTGTCTGGCATCGCCATCGTGCACGTCAGCTCCGAGTTCTCACTGCTCCAGGAGGGTCCAGTGGTCCTGGTCCTGCAGGACCCAGCCTGGGGGCCCCCTGCCTCCCCCAAGCCCCAGCAGGATACAGAGGACCTAGAGCAAAGTTTCCTGGGGCCGGCCGTGGTTGGTGGCAAGCCCTCTAGGCCCTGCCCATTCTCCCCTGGCAGGTGACTCCACCAGTAGCTGAGCACCTGGGGGCAGGTGAGGTGATGTCTGGCCACTTGGGAGGGCTTCCCCCCTCATCTCTGGAAACCGGAGCCCTTCCTGCACCCCACTCAGCTTAGCCGATGGATGACAATGTCCACTGGGCCACGGCAGCTCAGGCCCTGGGGTGGGCTGAGAGCCAGGGCCCTCCCATTGCTGCACCAGCTCTAACCCCAGGCAGGACCACCATGAAGCCCCCACACAGCGGGTCGGTGGGGTGCCTGAGCTCCGGAGGTCTGGCTACTGAAGGTCCCACCCTACCTGAGGGGCCGCCTGTGATCCGCCCACTGTTTCCCTCTGAGTGGGACACCCTAAGATTCCTCCTAATTTTGCGTTGCCGCCAGCCTTTTTGTTTTCCTGGGAAGGGGTGGGGGTGGAGCATGTGTGGTCACCGCCCTGTGGATGTCACCAGGAAGAGGTGGCCCTTGGTGGGACATGGACTTGGGGCCCAGAGGGACCCCGGGCAGATGTGAGGGGCCCAACCTTCTCTAGGGGCCCTCAGGGGCTGGGCTGCCTCCATCTGCCCTAGTCTCTGCCCTGGCAGGGCTTGGGTCTATGCACCTGAGGTCAGTTTCTGGCTGTTTGGAAGCCACCCTCTCACATGACCTGTGCTGCCTGGCCAGGCTCATGGGGCAAAGTGGACAGCCAAAGCCACACCCACCACTGGCCGAGCACCACACAGTGCGCTGGGGAGAGCAGAAGAGATGGGTGCTTGTCACCACGCAGTGCACTGGGGATTGCCGGTACTGCACCTGCACGTCACAGGAGCCACAGGCCTTGACTGCGAGGCCACAGTGCCACGAGCTCATGAACCCTCAGTCACAGACGCACCCACGGTCAAGGGACACCCCTGCCAGGGGCTCCACTCTGCAGAAGCCACTGTCATCCTGCACTTCCAGGGGTGGCCACTAGAGGCTCCCCAAAGACAGAACTGGCCGGAGGGCTCCAGAGCTGCCAAGCACCAGCCCGGGACAGGGTGGCACCCACAGTAATGGAGGGACAGGGTTGGGTGTGGGGAATGCAGCCCACCCTTCCCCGCGGCTGGGTACCACGGGGGAGGGGGAGGGGAGCAATGCTGCCCTGAGGCTCCTGGCCCTTCCAGGGGAACTGACAACTGCTTTTCTGAGATGGACAGACAGGAGGACATCACACACAGCGCTCTGAGGACCTCACCTGCCCTGTGGTGGCTGCCCTCCAAACACGCAGTGACCTGGATTCTCTCCAAACCTGGGTCTTGCTCCTGGGAGGTGGCTGGATCGGCTTCCGTACTGGGAACAGTCTGCAGACTTTAGGACAAAGTGTCCTGCCAGCTCTCCATGCTCGGGGTGACCATAGACCCCAGTGCTGGCTGGCCTGGGGGGTGTACCAGGCTCAGCAGTCCTCCCCATTCGGGGCGACCACAGACCCCAGGGAGTCTGGCCCTGCTGTTCTCAGGCCCCCACTGGCCCTGGTTTCCTCCTAACCTGCGTCCAGGTATCAGTCCCCCAAGCCAAGCCACCACCCAGTCTCCGCCTAGGTGTCTGCAGGAAATATCAGTGCATTTACTTGGGAAAACACACCACACCCAGCACACAAGCGTGGGCCCTGGGGGAGGCTGGGGCTCCCAGTGAGCTGAGACCCCAGCCCAGCCCTCCTTCCTCTGCCTCATCAGATGGGTGCCCCCACCTGGGCTAGCTGGACCCACAGGGGGCCCAGTGAGCAAGGCTGGCAGACCCTTGTCCAGAGGCTGGTGGTGTTTGGTGCAGGTGGGGAGGCAGCGGCTGAGCCTGACCCCAGGGGTCCCGAGGCACCCATGGCATGGGCCCCTCCCCAGGCTCGAGGAGGTGCCA